TCTTGTTCTGTTGCCCAGGGTGGAGTACAATGGTGTGATCACTGCAGCCTCAACCTTCTGGACTGAAGTGATCCTCCTGACTCAGCCTCCCAAGTAGCTGAGACTATAGGCATATGCTACAACGCCCAGTTAATTTTGTTGTTGATGGGGTCTTGCTATGTTGCCCAGGCTGCTCTCAAACTCCTGTACTCAAGTGATCCTCCCACCACAGCCTCCCAAAGTGCTGGGACTACAGGCATGAGCCACCAAGTCCAGTGTCAAACTAGTATTTCTTTTTTTTCCCCTTTTTGTGAAGAACAGCATCTCACTATATTGTCCAGACAGGTCTCCTAACTCCTGGACTCAAGCTATCCTCCTGCCTCTGCCTCCCTAAGAGCTAGGATTATGGGTGTGAGCCACCACACCCGGCTCAAACTAATATTTCTAAGACACATTCCCAGAGGTGTGGAGCTAAGTGGATTCCATGAACCCTAGCATACAAATGCAGGCTTCTCACTGGAACCTATACCTCAGAGCCACGCTGGCCGGTCAATCACCACCATGCTCCATTGCCAGGCGGAAATATTTATTTGAAAAATTGAAAACACAGATGCAATGTATTATACAAAGAAAGGTCTTAATACCATAATAAAAGTATTGTTGGAGGGAAACAGAAGCCAGTGGCCACCTGCCCTGGGAAGGTAGGCACTCAGTGAAAAATGAAATTCATTTCAAGGAACTACCCTACTGGAAACCCGGGGGAAAGGGTAAACACAGAAGAGAAGAAAAACAAACCCAACCCTACCCCTGCAAACCGAAATGTGAAAGAGTTTGTTATCAGTTTGAGACAATTGCATTATCACCAAGATGTAACCGAACCCCCCTCGGTTTGCCCCTGTGAGTGGTAATCAGTTTCATTTAGGGCCTTCAAACCTGAGGTAGTTGAGGGTCACCTGAAAGACATGTCTGGAAAAATCTACTCTCAGAATCGAACCCAACAGCATTGAATTGTTTCCTGTTGCTTTGGCTCCTGACAACACCACGGTGTGGTGCTGATCTTGTGTTTGGTCTGGACCTGGGAGAGGAAGGAATTTGGCAGCAAACAGCCGGCCTGGTTTGCTGCATCGATGGCTGGCAGGTCCGTGGTGGTGTTTTTCTATGCTACAGGTGGTACCGTCTCTGGAGGACAAGGATGGCAGAGAGACGGCAAGCCAGTTTGCTTGGAAAGCCAATGTTGGAACTGGAGGCTTTCCCTGGCAGGACTTCCAGAGATTTGGAAAGGTGGTAGAAGGTAGCAAGATACTGACCAGTTATTAAAGACCAGGGTCAAGTGGAGCCAGGAGACCCCTCTAGACTAAGGAGCTAAGAGAGAGCTTCCAGGTGCAAGCTGAGAACTAGCTCCTCCACAGGGTCGAGGGACCAAAGCCAACTAATCTGACCAGAGCGACATGTACCTGTGATCCCCGTGTTACCTGGTGGCAGAAACCTTGGTGTCTGACTTGGTAGCTGGGACAGTTCCAAGAAAAGTTGCTCTAGACAGTGGTTCTTCCAGTCACTGGGTTAGAGGGACCCGTATTCTGGTGGGATTTTAGGGGTACTGCTATGGACGGCCGCATCAGCAAACAATCTAAACTAGTCTCATTGAAACTCCTTGCTCAGATATAAAATAACCCTGCCAAGGTGGCTCTTCTCTTCTGTTTCTTTCTCTCTCTTTTTTTTTTTTTTGAGACCGAGTCTCACTCTGTCACCCAGGCTGCAGTACAGCGGTGTGATCTTGGCTCACTGCAACCTCCGTCCCCCAGGTTCAAGCGATTCTCCTGCCTCTGCCTCCCCAGTAGCTGGGATTACAGGTGCCCACCACCACACCCGACTAATTTTTGTATTTTTAGTAGAGACGGGGTTTCACCATGGTGGCCAGGCTAGTATTGAACTCCTGACCTCAGGTGATCCACCCACCCCTGCCTCCCAAAGTGTTGGGATTACAGGAGTGAGGCACCACGTCCGGCCTCTCTTATGTAAACAAACATCTTTTCTCTAGAGGTCTTAGGGCACTGTCTTACAAACTTAAGTAACAGATGCTGTTTTTCAACTTCTTGTTGATCCTAAGCCATTATTTTGTTGCTCTCCCATCTTGTCATGACCCATTTACACTCACCAGAGACTTGTCACTAGTGATGCTCAGTGACTCATTTAAAAGGCTGGCAGGTTCATTTTTAGCTTTAAGATGTGATTCCCGTTTTAATCCAAGGTGTGTCACTAAATACCTCTTCATCTTCATTTTTAGAAAAGTCACAATAGGAAAATTTGATTTTGTCTAGAGAATGGGGTAGCCGTTCTAATCTGAGCTATTACGAAAGTAATTATGTGACATCTGACAGTTACTTCCTCATGTGACACTGACTTAGCCTCTGCTTCTGTTTAAGTGCTTTCTTAACTGTTATGACTCAGGCTAAGTCGACGAAGGTTTTAAACATTTCTGTGGCTTTAAAAACAAACAATTTTTTGTCACTCCGTCACCCAGGCTGGAGTGCAGTGGCACAGTCAGGGCTGACTGCAGCCTCAACTTCCCAAGCTCAAGCAATTCTCCCACCTCAGCTCCCCAACTAGCCGAGACTACAGGCATGTGCACCATCATGCCCGGCTAATTTTGTTTTTGAATTTTAGTAGAGACAAGGTCTTGCTATGATGCCCAGCCTGGTCTCAAACTCCTGAGCTCAAGCGATCCTCCCGCCTTGGCCTCCTAAAGTGCTGGGATTACAGGCGTGAGCCACTGTGCTCAGCTGGGCAGAGAATCTTAATTTGATCCAGTACACTAGACTTTTTGCCCCATTTGTAATTTGTTTTTTTGGTTTTTTTTGAGACGGAGTTTTGCTCTTGTTGCCCAGGCTGGAGTACAATGGCGTGATCTCAGCTCACTGCAACCTCTGCCTCCGGGGTTCAGGAGATTCTCCTGTCTCAGCCTCCTGAGTAGCTGGGATTACAGGCACCCGCCACTATGCTTGGCTAATTTTTGGTATTTTTAGTAGAGACGGGGTTTCACCACATTAGCCAGGCTGGTCTCGAACTCCTGACCTCAGGTGATCCACCTGCCTTGGCCTCTCAAAGTGCTGGGATTACAGGCGTGAGCCACGGGTACAGTGGTGCCCGGCCGCCTCATTGGTAATTTGAAACGTATGAGTTGGAATGGCTGAGATCTAGAAGTGAGGACTAGCTACTTTTGGAAATGTTGACCCGCATCAAGAACACACTGATTGGTTTAGTTGCCACAACTGGGACAGGGAAGCCATGCACCATTCCTTCTGAGCCTTGAATAAAAAAAAAATACTAAGCAGAAAGCAGCATTCAACACAAGACTGCCCAATTTCTGGTGCTGATACTTCCTTAGCCCAGTATGGAGGTCACACCTCTGAGTATGGTCATCCCAGGTCCTGGGAGAGAGTTTTTTGAATGTCCCACTTAGAAAATGCACAGAGAGGGAGTTGGGGAGGGGGGTGGGCTAGGGAGATGGGGGTTGGTTCACAGTGATCAAACAGAAGTCTCACAACCCGTCATGTAGCAAAACCTAGCAATGTTCTGTTGGGGCAGATCCTGGGAAGTGCATGATGGCTACCACCAATGAGTTGCTATAGATAAAGAAGGAAGACGCTGTTTTTCCAAGATCAGAAGGTCACTTAAATGCTGGGGTCCATCTAGAACAGGAAAAGTGCTGTTGGGCTGCCCATCCCTGGCAAACTGTTCATGTGCCCTCTGTCCTCATCCTGTCCACAGGGCAGCGAGAGCCTGGGGCATATGGCTGAAAGGAGTTAGAGCCGCTGGCTCTGTCCTTTCTCGTTTTCTCTGACTCAAGAGCTCTGAATGATCTCCTTGCTTTGGGATCCAAGTCAGTAACAGTCCAGCACCTTGGCCTTGCTTCTGATTCTTGAAGGCTGATGTAGCCGGGCAGAAAGATGAGCCTTGCTATAGTCACACCTGAAGTCCTGATTGCTCCAAGCATCTCTTTGTAGGCTGTTGCTGCTTAAGGGAGGTTAGTAATAAATACTAAGGGTAGCAAACCAAGTATAGGGTTCTTTCCTGATGGGAGCAATTGCGTCTGATCTTCCGGGTTTGTCAATTGCGTAGAAGGTGGAACGATCTTTTTATTCAAGAGGATGCCAAGGCAGACGTCTGCAGAAAGGAGCTGGGAATTGCTCCCACGCTCCCTCTCTGGGCCAAGGGAGATGGTCCACTTGACACAGACCGTTCATGGACAGTTCATTCCGGCGGGGAAGTAGTGTTGATCTCACCAGTTCCATTCAAGCATGTGATAAAAATTTTTGAGCCTGGTCACAGGAACTCCTAAGAAACGTGTCCTGTGAAGACCTGGGCTGTGTGAACCCTCTTGTCCCTCTTTCTGTTGTCTTCTCCCTTGTGAAGGTGGACAGAGGCTTTCCGCTGGGTTCAGCTTTAGGAGGGAAAGGCACTCACTCCTTCTGCCTTTTGAGGAAAGCTGTCACTCAGCAGCTCCGCCTGACCCTGGAGCATGGACTGGGTGGGCCAGCACTTGCTCAGCGTGGAGGCGGAGGTGGAGCACCGAGAGGCCTGGACAGCACCATCGCCGGAGCTGCCACAGTGGGGGGCCCTGGAGACTCAGCTCCAGGGGTGTGCCCTTTGGGAGAGTTGGCTATGTGAGTGAAACTTAAAAAAAAAAAAATACAACCAAAAAACCCAACCAACCACCATAAGAAGCAGTGGAAATCCATGGCACTGCCCAAAGAGGGGGAGAATGGCCTTGGCATTCACAGCCAGGACACTCCTGCTGTCCTTCTGACTGTGCAGATTTCAGGGTAGTGTCCTGGTTTGGAATCCATCAGCCCTCTGATGCTCACAAGTTTGTGCAAATGATGAAACTGAAAAGACTGAGAAGAAAACAGAAAAGAAAAGGCATAAGATCTTCCCTCTCCAAGCTGTCAACGAACAACAAGCAGCCCCTCTATTAAGGATACCCATTGTTGTGGGGGTCAAATAATCAGCAGGACTGGATGGAAGTCCTCTCTGTTGAGTGGCCCTGTCCCCCACCACCCCTCTTTGCACCTAGGCTTGCTCATGGGCAGCACTGGCCAGCCTGGATGCTAACTAGGGAGGCGGGGAAAGAACAGAGATGACCATGAGTCCAAACAGAAAGGGTGTCGCTATGGAGGGAGTCTTTGGAAGTGTCATGCAGGTCCTCGGCATTGGGTAATGGCAGTGGTGTGGCTGCCCCTGGGACTCCAAGGATTTGGCCTGTGGCTGGGGAAATGACACACACGAGATAGGTAATAAGGATTTACACTGACATATGGGGTATCGGTTTGGCTCTATTCTTTTTCGGTTACCGCTTCTTGCAGTGTAGGTGGAGATGCCTCTGTTCCTAAAAGACAATGATAATTTATGTTGCAAAGCGCTTCATGCATGCATACACTCACTTAACCAAAAAACCTGCCACCATGGGGGCTCAAAAATACATTATAATTATAACCATGGTGTAATCACCTAGTCCCCGAGTTTGGTGTCTAGGAATGACTAGGATCTGTCTATGGTTGGTGCCCAGAGTCTGTCAAATCCCATAACAGTCAACAATCTTGGTTGTGATCAAGTTGACTGCTTTTGACATGCAGACAGCAACATATAGACTCAAGGTGATGGATGGCAAGTCTCTGGGCTGGCAGGCTGAATGTGACTCCATGCCACTCCGTTTCTCAGCACCTGATCCCTTCTATCCTTTGGCAATTGTTGCCCTTCACTGGCTCTAGATAGTCAGAATCTTGTAATTCACTTGTCCCTGTCTGCCAGATCTCCACTGACCACTATTCTTTCGTTTTTCAACTCTCTGCTGGCCAGAAACTAAATTCCCAGGGAGTTAGCAAGGCTAGCTGGGCCTGGGAAGGAATGGCAGTGAATGAGTTATGATCAATGTTTAGGTCTTAAAAGGTGACAACAAAAGCTTTTAATTCACCATAATTTCACCCAGAGTTAGACTTAAAGGTTATTTACAACAGAAGAGAAAATAGGTTCCATGAGGAGAGAAGAGAAGGAAGAAGCCACTGATCTGGTGGGTTCCTTGTTCTGTTCCATTCTAGGGGAAGGCCCTGTCACACAGCTTCCCCTCCCTGCTGTGGGTTAGTGCCCGTCCTTGGAGTCAGCTCACCTTCTTCCCAGCCCTCAGCAACACCAGCAAGCTCGTAGTGCTTTTTCCGAAGCTCTCCCAGTTTTTGACGCTCCTTCTGCAATTCATTTTCTAGCTCTAGCACCCTAACCTGTAAGGAAAGTGAGTGGGATTTTCTTTTGATCAGCTCTCTGAGATTTAATTTTTATGTATATTTTTTATAGAGATGGGGTCTTGCTCTGCTGCCCAGGCTGGTAGTGAACTCCTGGCCTCAGGAGATCCTCCTGTCTTGGCCTCCCAAAGTGCTGAGATTACAGGCATGAAACACCATGCCCAGCCTACATCTATCTTATTTTGATTACCCCCTTTCTGCTGTATTGTGAATTCCTCTTCTTCTGCATTATTCACCCTGTTTCCATACTTTATCTAGTCCTCAATTTCTGTTCTCTTTTTGCTCTAATTTTTCCATTCTCCCATTCATTTATCTATCCCAGTAGCTCTTATGTTTTACTCACTGTGATCCTCTACTGGAAGTGAATGATGCTTTACAAATACCTAAATGGGAGGTGGGCTTATCTTCTGTTGCTCTGATAAATCACTATCTAAAAACAACTCTAATGTTTAGCCTAACTGTATGGTGAGTGCCAATCTAGTTGTAACCCTTCTTCAATTCCAGTTCCCTGGAAACCCAGGTAGGAACCAAGTATGATGGTTCTGATATCTTTCAGGTATTTGTGCAACTTAGGCTTATTACTGCTACAGGAAAAAGCATGGACAGTCTTACTAAAGGAAAAGGTGATCTTGCCTAGCTCTACTTCTCATTAATGTAATTTATTTTATTTCTTTTTTTTTTTTTTTTTTTTTTTTTTTTTTGAGACGGATCTTGCTCTGTCTCCCAGGCTGGAGTGCAGTGGCGCGATCTCGGCTCACTGCAAGCTCCGCCTCCTGGGTTCACGCCATTCTCCTGCCTCAGCCTCCTGAGTAGCTGGGACTACAGGCGCCCGCCACCGTGCCCGGCTAATTTTTGTATTTTTAGTAGAGATGGGGTTTCACTGTGGTCTCGATCTCCTGACCTTGTGATCCGCCGCCTCGGCCTCCCAAAGTGCTGGGATTACAGCGTGAGCCACTGCGCCCGGCCTTAAAGTAATTTATTTTATTTCTTAATTCAAGGAATATTTGCTGGCAGGCACAGTGGCTCATGCCTGTAATCCCAGCACTTTGGGAGGTCAACGTGGGTGGATCATTTGAGGTCAGGAGTTTAAGGTAGCCTGACCAACATGATGAAACCCCATCTCTACTAAAAATATACAAATTAGACAGGTGTGGTGGTGCATGCCTGTAATCCCAGCAACTTGGGAAGTTGAGGCAGGAGAATTGCTTGAACACAGGAGGCAGAGGTTGCAGTGAGCCAAGATCACACCATTGCACTCCAGCCTGGGCAACAAGAGCAAAATTCCATCTCAAAAAAAAAAAAAAAAAAAGGAATATTTGCTGAGCACTGATCATGTCCCTGCTTACCTTATAGAGGGAAAAGACAAATGAAGGAGAAAGATCAGATTGCAAAGAAATGACACAGGGAAATGTAATAAAGCCTAAGAATAGTCAGCCAGGTCTAGTCTCAGAAAGTCATTTTTCAGCTTTTGTGGCCTTAAGAGCTCAGCTGCCTGGAGACCTGGAGAATAATACTCCAGACAGAAGAAACAGCCAGAGCAAAGGCTCTAAAGCAAGACAGATCTGGAGGTGTTGGGAGAAGGAAGGAAGTTGTATATGAGACATATGATAGAGGGGTAGGGTTGCAGGATGAAGTTGAGAACCAGGCAAGGATCATTTTTCACCCAGGCTCATGACCTGATGAGGAGCTTGGATGTTGTACATGCAATGAAAAGCCACTGGGAGGATTTAAGCAGAGAGGGGACATCCTGAGATTTACATTTCTAAACTATCACATGGGGAATGAATGGACTGTAGAGGGTCAAGAGTAGAAGCAACTAGACCCAGTGAAGTGGTTCCTTTTTTGTTTTGAAACAACTTTTTATTATGGAAAAAGTAAAACATCTATAGAGGGACGGAGACTAGCAGAGTGACCTCACTGTGCTCTTCACCTAGCTCCACCAACTAACTAACCATATGACCAGACTTGCCTCTGCAATGCTCTTTGCTATTCTCCCCACCACCTGATCGTGCCATGGCATTATTATTATCGTTATTTTTAGAGATAGGGTCTCACTCTGTCACACAGGCTGGAGTGCAAGAGTGTGATTACAGCTCCCTGAAGCCTCAAACTCCTGGATTCAAGTGATCCTCCTGCTTCAGCCTCCAGACTAGCTGGGACTGCAGGCATGTGTCCCAGCTAATTTTTAATTTCTATGTAGAGATGGGGTCTCTCTATGTTGCCCAGGCTTGTCTTGAACTCCTGGCCAAGCAATCCTCCCAACTTGGCCTTCCAAAGTACTGGGATGATAAGCATGAGCCACTGCACCCAGCCTACCACAGGATTATTTTAAAATGACTATTCATATAACATTATAGGTAAGTTGCTTTTGCAGTGGTTCAGGAGACAGAGAATGGTGGCTTAGGTTACAGTAGGAAGATGGAAAGAAGTGGAAAGATTAAGCTTTTGTTTTGTGATTTAGCGTTAACAGGCCTTGCAGATGGATTGGATGTGGAGGGTGAGGGAAAGAGAGGAATCAAGGATGACTGTTTGTGGCTCAGCACCCAGTAGGCGGTGGGGGTGTCATTTACTGAGATGAAATAAACAAGGGGAGGGACAGAGTGGGGTGTGAGGGACACCAAGAGGCCTGTTTTGGACATCAGTTACGTTTGAGATACTTATAGGGCATTAGTGGGGAGCTATCAAGAAGGCTGCTGGATAAGTATGGGGCTCAAGGAGAAGATCTAAGCTGTGGAGAAGATTTTGGAATTTATCCACATATAGGTGGTATTTAATCAAGAGGGGATGGGTGCAGTAGCTCACGCCTGTAATTTCAGCACTTTGGGAGACCAAGGCAGGTGTATCACCTGAGGTCAGGAGTTCGAGACCAGCCTGGCCAACATGGTGAAACCCTGTCTCTACTAAAAATACAAAAATTAGCTGGGTGTGGTGGCGGGTGCCTGTAATTCCAGTTACTTGGGAGGCTGAGGTGGAAGAATTGTTTGAACCTGGGAGGCGGAGGTTGCAGTCAGCCAAGATTACATCACTGCACTCCAACCTGGGCAACACACTGAGACTCTGTCTCAAAAAAATAATAATAATAAAAATAAAGTCAAGAGGGACCAAGTGAGACTGCTAAGCAGAAGTCCGTTCAGTATTCAGACAGCAATTTGGCTTTGCTGGTGATCTGTGTCTTTTCCTAAAGATGCTGAGCCAGGTGCAGTGGCTCATGGCTATAATTCCAACACTTTGGGAGGCTCAGGTGGGAGAACTGCTTGAGCCCAGAAGTTCAAGACCAGCTTAGGCAATTTTTGTAGAGACCCCCATCTCTACAAAAAATAAAGAGGCTGGGTGCAGTGGTTCACATCTGTAATCCTAGTACATTGAGAGGCCGAGGTGGGCAGATTGCCTAAGGTCAGGAGTTCGAGACCAGCCTGGCCAACATGGTGAAACCCCATCTCTACTAAAAATACAAAAATTAGCCGGGCGTGACGGTGCATGTCTGTAATCCCAGCTACTTCAGAGGCTGAGGTGGGACAATCGCTTGAACCTGGAAGGCGGAGGTCGCAGTGAGCCACGATCATGCCACTGTACTCACTCCAGTCTGGGTGACAGAGCAAGACTCAGTCTCAAAAAGAAAGAAAGAAAGAAAGAAAAATTAGCTGGGCATGGTGGTGTGCAACTGTAGTCCCAGCTACTCAGGAGGCTGAGTTGGGAGGATCTGCCTGAGCCCAGGAGTTCAAGTCTGCAGTGAGATGTGATGGCACCACTGCACTCCAGCCTGAGGAACAGAGTAAGGCCCTGACTCAAAAAAAGAAAAAAAATTGCTGAGTGACACATCTTGTAGTACTTTAACAATTCCAATTTGAAATTCACCCCAAGACTGATGACCAATAATTCTAGAAAAATGATATCAATTTTTTTAAAGGATCTTGCTGATACCTATTTTGCATCGTATGACTTTATAGAACAACAGAGAGAAATAATGGCATTGCCTTTGATGAGTTAAAAGGATTTTCTCTTTTAAAACTAAAGGTCATACGCAAATAATTCATACCAGAAGTCTAAAACAATGTTTATAGTAAGACTATTAAGTTTGTGGATACTAAGAGATCCTGGATAACATTTAGAGGAATGTTAGTCCAAGACTAGTGGGCAAGAGTTAAGAGTCTGATCTTGGCTGGGTGTGGTGGCTCACGCCTGTAATCCCAACACTTTGGGAGGCTGAGGCAGGAGGATTGTGTGAGGCCAGGAGTTGAGACCAGCCTAGGCAACATAGTGAGACCCTGTCTTTACTTTATTTAAGGAAAAAAGAAAATGGCCGGTGGCTCACACCTGTAATCCCAGCACTTTGGAAGGCCCAGGTGGGCAGATCACAAGGTCAGGAGTTCGAGATCAGCCTGGCCAGCATGGTGAAACCCTATCTCTATTAAAAATAAAAAATTAGCTGGGCATGATGACACATATCTATAATCCCAGCTACTTGGGAGGCTGAGGTAGAAGAATCGCTTGAACCTGGGAGGTGGGGAGTGAGGTGAGCCGAGATCATGCCATTGCATTCCAGCCTGGGTGACATGAGACGACTCCGTCTCAAAAAAACCAAAATAACAAAAGAACAAAAAAACAAGGATTCTGATCTTCACTAATAACCTCCACCTCCACTGTTTCTTCCGGCATGATTTACATTCAGTCTTGGGTTAGTAGGTGCACCTGTGTTCATTTCCACTCAGGTCTCTCTCCCTCTGCCTTTTCTCCATGGGAACAATATTTAGAGTCCATGTCTAAGCAATAGAGGCTATCTAGACTTAGCGATGGAGCTCTCACCTGGGAATCCATCTCTTGGCGTTTGATCTGTGTCAGCGTCATGCTTGAGAAGTCCATGTTGTCTGCAAGGATGGAAACAAGAAGATTTTATCAAATTCTACCCTGCCTGACTGGCACCTGAGAGGTGGACAATGCCAACGCTCTGTGGAAACACCTGGTTTGCCATTTGTCAACACTGCATGAAAGTAACTGAGGGGGCTGGACATGGTGGCTCACTCCTGTAATCCTAGCTCTTTGGGAGGCTGAGGTGGGTGGATCACGAGGTCAGGAGTTCAAGACCAGCCTGGTCAACATAGTGAAACCCTGTCTTTACTAAAAATACAAAAATTAGCCAGGTGCAGTGGTGGGCGCCTGTAATCCCAGCTATTTGGGAGGCTGAGGCAGGAGAATCACTTGAATCTGGGAGCGGAGGTTACAGTGAGCCAAGATTGCACCATTGCACTCCAGCCTGGGTGACAAGAGCAAGACTCCGTCTCAAAAAAAAAAAAAAAAAAAGGCAGGGCACAGTGGCTCACACCTATAATTCCGGCAAACTTTGGGAGGCCAAGGTGGGCGGATCACCTGAGGCGAGGAGTTCGAGACTAGCCTTGGCCAACATGGTGAAGCCCCGTCTCTACTAAAAATACAAAAATTAGCGGGCGCAGTGGCGGCGCCTGTAATCCCAGCTACTCGGGAGGCTGAGGCAGGAGAATCGTGTGAACCAGGGAGGTGGAGGTTGCAGTGAGCAGAGATCGTACCACTGCACTCCAGCCTGGGTGACAGAGTGAGATCTTGTCTCAAAAACAGAAATAAAGAAAAAATAAAATAAAAAGATGAAAAATATGAAAGAATTTAGACACAGTCCTGTGGGATTTGGTTGGGATCACAGGGAACGATGCAGAGAAGAGCTCAAGGATGCAAGATAAGAAAAGGGTCCCTTTGGAAAGGCTACCTGTCTCTTCAATCTGTGATTTGCCGGAAATGGTTGAGGCCACGACGCCGGCAGTGGCCTGGTTCACTCCCCGAGAGGCCTGCTGCAGCTGGGCTAGGTTGGGGCTGTCCTTATCAGCTTTCACCTACCAGGACAAAGCGGATTTAGGTTCACACAACACCTAGAGCAAGAAGGACTGAATCAAATAATTGCTCTGATGGTTCTTAGCAAACATATGTGGGCCAAACGGCAACCACCAATCAGCTTCTCAAAACCTGCTGCCTACAGTCAGCTCCTGACATTATCTATCATCTGAAAAATTATTCCTGGCTTCTTTGCTTGGTGGCTCCCAAACTCTAAGCATTATCACTTATTTGGACAGTGTACCCAGTTGTAGAAATCAATCTGGGATGACAAGAAATAAGGGCAAATAAAGAACACTGAGATACTGTGAAACTCTTCAAAGGATTTTGAGCACCCGGTTTACATGAGAATTAGTTGGGGGCATTGATAGTATTGAGTCAAAAATTTTTTTTTTTGTTTTTTGAGATAGAGTTTCGCTCTTGTTGCCCAGGCTGCGTGATCTCAGCTCACTGCAACCTCCGCCTCCCTGGTTCAAGTGATTCTCCTGCCTCAGCCTCCCAAGTAACTGGGATTACAAGTGTCCACCACCACACCCGGCTAATTTTTTGTATTTTTAGTAGAGACGGGGTTTCAACATGTTGGCCAGGCTGGTCTCGATCTCCCGACCTCAGGTGATCCACACACCTTGGCCTCCCAAAGTGCTGGGATTACAGGAGTGAGCCACCGTGCCCGGCCTGATTCAAATTTGAAGACTAATAAGGAGGAGTTGTGGAATCTCAGAGATAAGTCAGGTAACCTGTTTATGATGCCAACCTATTCCTTATTTGAGTGTTTCTTGAATGCCAGGACTGCTAATAGGAAGTTGGCATTGCTGGAACTCTCTAAGGCCACTTGTAACGGATGTGAGGAAAGTCACGAGGGACATGTGTGGTGCACTGGGTACAGACGTTCCTTGCTGTCACATGAAAGGACTCTAAGGCTGGGTGTGGTGGCTCACGCTTGTAATTCTAGCACTTTGGGAGGTTGAGGTGGGTGGATCACGAGGTCAGGAGATCGAGGCCATCCTGGCTAACATGGTGAAACCCTGTCTCTACCAAAAATACAAAAAATTAGCTGGGTGTGGTGGCGGGTGCCTGTAGTCCCAGCTACTGGGGAGGCTGAACCAGGAGAATCACTTGAACTCGGGAGGTGGAGTTTTGCAGTGAGCCGAGTTTGCGCCACTGCACTGCAGCCTGGACAACAGAGCAAGACTCTGTCTCAAAAAAAAAAAAAAAGCTGCTGTAAGAGGATGGTATGAGACCCTTAAGAGGCTGAATTTGTATTTGGAATCGAATCCACCTGAGCCCTGGATAAATCATCTGTTGTCAGGTCCAGTTCCATCCCACCATCCAAGTACTGTCTAACCTAGCCAAGTACTCTCTAACTCCTAAGTACTCTCTAACTGAACCAAGTACCATCTAACCTAACCAAGTACCATCTAACCTAGCCAAGTACTCTCTAACCTAGCCAAGTGCTGTCTAACATAGTCAAGTATATCCCTTAGTACTCTCTAACCTAGCCAAGTTCCATCTAACCTAGCCAAGTACTCTCTAACCCCTTAGTACTCTCTAACCTAGCTAAGTACCATCTAACCTAGCCAAGTGCCATCTAACCTAGCCAAGTACTCTCTAACCTAGCTAAGTACCATCTAACCTAGCCAAATGCCATCTAACCTAGCTAAGTACTCTCTAACTCAGCCAAGTACTGCCTAATGCAGCCAAGTACTCTTTAACCTAGCCTAGTACTCTCTAACCTAGCCAAGTACTGTCTAACATAGACAAATATATCCCTTAGTATTCTATAACCTAGCCAAGTTCCATCTAACCTAGCCAAGTACTCTCTAACCTAGTCAAGTACCATCTAACCTAGCCAAGTGCCATCTAACCTAGCCAAGTACTCTCTAACTCAGCCAAGTACTGCCTAATGCAGCCAAGTACTCTTTAACCTAGCCTAGTACTCTCTAACCAGGCCTTCCAGGGTCCTAGGAGGTCCAGCACAGGTCCTACCTTGGATGCAGCCACAAGCTGGGCTGTGCTAGCAGCAATTTCATGCGAACACACCATTAGCTCCTCAAATTTCCCTCTGCCTTGTACCACCAGATCAGCTGCATCCCTGATGGAAAACGACAAGAGGGACTAGGTTTTGGGCAGATGAGCCGCAACTCCTCCACAATCCCACCTCCAGACCCCCAGCATCACCCTGTGTCCCCTGGGAGAGCCAGGCTCCCTTGTAAACTTGGTCCTATTGACTTCCTGATCAATAGTTTATTGATCAGGGAGAGATTCTTTTCCCCTCCTTAGCTATTGTTTGGAGTGGATCAATGGAAGAGGGGTCAGGGGAGGAGCCTTGGTACCAATGGATACTTACACCATGACAGTGGCTCCCCAGCCCACAGCCTTGGAGGCTGAGATGAGTCCTTCTGTCCATCGAGAGTTCTTGGCATAAAACTCTTTAGGGGATGCTGTACCCTAGGGAAGAAAAAAATAGTCGTAGCCACCTTTTATTGAGCATGTACTATATGGCAGGTGCTTTTATATATATATTATCCCAAATAATCCTCATAGTAACTCTGAGACATAAGCATTAGTATTCCCATTTCACAAAAAAGAAGATTCAGAGACAAAAATGGCTTTTCTGGCTGGGTGCAGTGGTGCTTGCCTGTAATCCCAGCACTTTGGGAGGCTGAGGCAGGTGGATCACTTGAGGTCAGGAGTTCAAGACCAGCCTGGACAACATGGTGAAACCCTGTCTCTATTAAAAATACAAAAATTAGCTGGGTATGGTGGTGGGTGCCTGCGATCCCAGCTATTCAGGAGGCTGAGGCAAGACAATCACTTCAACCTAGGAGGCGGAGGTTGCAGTGAGCCGAGATCGCGTCACTGCACTCTAGCCTGGGCAACAGAGCAAGACTCTGTCTCAAAACAAAACCCTGGCTGGGCGTGGTGGCTCATGCCTGTAATCCCAGCACTTTGCAACGCCGAGGCGGGTGGATCATGAGGTCAAGAGATTGAGACCATCCTGTCTAATATGGTAAAACCCCATCTCTACTAAAAATACAAAAATTAGCTGGGTGTGGTGATGTGCGTCTGTTGTCCCAGCTACTCGGGAGGCTGAGGCAGAAGAATTGCTTGAACCCAGGAGGCAGAGGTTGCAGTGAGCCGAGATTGCACCACTGTATTCTAGCCTGGTGACAAAGTGAGACTCAGTCTCAAAACAAAAAACAACAACAACAATGAAAAACCAAAAACAAAAATGCAAAACAACAAACAAACAAAAAGGCTTTTCCCAAGGTCATGCAGGAAATAAATGGAAGCAAATCTTGGGCTTTTCTGACTCCAAAGCCTGCAGCATTTCTACCATACGCCGACATTTCTGTATTGTATATGTAAGAATAAATATTCTCATATGAATAAGTTATGATCTGAAAAGAGTCTAGCCACTCTCTGCGATTTGCCAATAAAAAAAGAGACTACACAGTGAATATATTAAAAAATATATTTCTACTTGGATTTGAAAAATGTTTTTATGCTTTGGAAGTGTCTGATAGTCTGAGGATCTGCAGATAATCCTTGTCCAGTCCATCTTTCTATTTTAGAAACAGAAAACATTGCCTCGCAGGAAGATAAAAGGCACCAGCAAACCAGGCCTGGCTGCTTGCTTTATGGCACTGTTCTCAGGCTCATTAACCCCTCTCTGGACTTACGCCTCCCAAGCTGCAGTGGCATATGGGGAAATAAGAAAAAAAAATGATGATAATCCCAGCAAAGGCATGAGACCATGAAGTGATGCATTGATAACAGGCTGACAGCAGAGTCTATTTGTAAGGGTGAGTTGACTCTGCTGGTGGAAACAGACAAGGCAGAGCTCCCTGTGAAAAGTTAGTCTCAAGCTGGCTTTCAGGATCTGCTTCGTTTGCAAAAATCCTCATGTCTCCCTCAGAGTACCCAGGTGTGCAATGTAAGCAGGGCTCCCACAGCAAGTTCCAACAATGTCTGCCTGTGCGAAGGGAGCTGGAGTTGGGACCCATGCCTGGCCACCCTCTGGGAAGGTCCTGGAGCTCTGACTTCTCCCCAGGGCCTCTGCTGATGTCTACAGGAGTGGCACCTCTGTGCTCAGGTGGACACACAGAACAAGATGGCAGCATCACAGAGTCTGGTGGAGCGAGAATCTGTCACCAATGCCTGCTCTTCCTGCCCAGGGCCCACATCCACACTCACCCTGCCGCTCTCCACAATCTCTCTCTGGAGGTCCTTAGAGGCTACAATCAGCACCTGAATAGCTTGCATGAGGCTGGTACAGCAACCAAGGATCCTGCCAAACAAACAAATAAACAAAAAGTCGGGGATACACTGAGACCAAGATCCAAGATCAATGAACACGACTGTTCTCCTTTCCACTCCTAGCCAAAGGCAAGCTTGGAATGGGAAAGAGAGGTAAGAAAGGTGCTGAGATTGCTGGAACATTCTGCGGGGAGAAAGGTGCTGAGATTGCTGGAACATTCTGCGGGGAGGACCCGAAGGAGAGGCTGGGGAATGACAGATCGATTGTGGGTCTCCATCGTAAGGAATAGTGAAGTTGTGATTCCTAGGGCTTCTTTTCTTCTTTTTTGAGACAGAGTCTCGCTCTGTCACCCAGGCTAGAGTGCAGAGGCATGATCTTGGCTCACTGCAACCTCCGCCTCCTAGGTTCAAGTGATTCTCCTGCCTCAGCCTCCCAAGTAGCTGGCATTACAGGTATGCACCACCACGCCTGGCTAATTTTTGCATTTTTAGTAAAGATGAATTTTCACCACATTGGGCAGGCTGTTCTCGAACTTCCAACCTCAGGTGATCCTCCCTCCTCAGCCTCCCAAAGTGCTGGGATTACAGGTGTGAGCCACCACGCCGGCCCGGGGTTTCTTTTCTTCTATAGTGAAACAGCAATATTGCTGTCATCGTTAATACTGTCACTGATGATTACATCAACTCAGCCCTTCCCCGTGGCTGCTACTGCTCTCCTCTAATTCCATAATAAGTACACAAAGTATGGCCCGATGCCAGGAAGACGGATCCTGCTCCCCTAGGTCCCACCGTGCCGCTCAGACCAACCTTTCATTCACCTCCAGTTTGACTCCTGTATCTCCTGCTCGGGATTTGCTGAGCATCTCCTGTTAAAAAGAAGCATAGTTTCTAAATGTGCCTTGAATATTAAGGACCCACTAATGTCCTACTATACTTTCAGTCCAACATCGTGTGGTAGCTGAGAAACCTGAATCTGGAGGTCCCTAAGTCCCTGCCCACATCCTTGGGAGAGTCAGAAAAAGAATCCAGACTCTAATCTATTCAGGGGGAGTGCAGCTGTAGTGGGCTGGCTCTATGATCTGTGTCTTTTTTTTTTTGAGACGGAGTCTCACTTTGTCACCCAGGCTGGAGTACAGCGGCGTGATCTCAGCTCACCGCAACCTCTGCCTCCTGGGTTTAAGTGATTCTCCTGCCTCATCTTCCCAAGTACCTGGGATTATAGGCACCCGCCACCATGCCCAGCAAATTTTTGTATTTTTAGTAGAGACCGGGTTTCACCATGTTGTCCAGGCTTGTCTCAAACTCCTGACCTCATGATCTGCCCGCCTCGGCCTCCCAAAGTGCTGGGAATACAGGTGTGAGCCACCGTGCCTGGCCAGAACCCAGGATGTTCTGAAACCAAAGTATCTGATTCTTGAGGAAACCAATCACCTTCTCTCATGAGGACCTTCTCATTTTCTATCACTCAGAAAAACTAGTGAGTTCAGATTTTGGTCTCTCTCTCTCTCTCTCTCTTTTTTTTCTTAACAATTTAAAAACATTTTTAGAGACAGGGTCTCACTCTCTCACCCAGGCTAGAGTGCAGTGGTGCAATCATGGCTCACTGTAGCCTCCAATTCCTGGGCTCATGTGATCCTCCTACAGCCTCTGGAGTAGCAAGGACTACAAGCATGCACCACCACGTCCAGCTAATTATTTTACTTTTTGTAGACATGGGGTCTTGCCATGATGCACAGGCTGGTCTCAAACTCCTGGACTCAAGTGATCCTCCCAAGGTGGTAGGATTACAGGCATGAGCCACTGTGCCTGGCAAATTCTGGTTTCTGTCTTAGGGGGTCGCCATGGCCTTAATGAACGACTATGACATGTCTAATGAGCAGTGTTGCAGAAGGGCAGCTGCAAAGGCATCGTTTCAGGAGATCCTGCAGGAACCTCCTACCTCTATTCTGGCCGTGGCGGTTTCAATAGCAGCTGAAGTGGCCGCCATCTCCTTGTCCACCAGGTCCCCCAGCTCTTCCTGCTTGATGTCCAGGCCCCTGGGCAGGAGCTCCTATGAACACATCACAAAGGCTGAACTGACCCTGGGGCCTCCTCCCTCTTCTCCTCTGCCATCTGTAACCCTTACAAGATGGCAGAGGGAGGAGGCCACCCAGCCAACACCTTCTGCAAGCCACGGGGGTTGTGGGGGGGTCTTTCGCAGACCCCATCTGGTTCTCTTTGTGACACGAACTCTGGAACCTCACGCTCCTCCTCACTCAGGATCCACCTCTTTCCAGAATGCCATCGCTGCCTCCCCCTGCAAGGTCATTCCGCCACCACTAAGACCCCAGCCCCTTAGTTGTGCAGTGTCAATTGTACTAGCTACACAGGAGGTGTTTTTACAATTCGTTCTTTTGCTTTTTCTTTTTGAGACAGAGATCTCCCTCTATTGCACAGGCTGGAGTACAGTGGTGCAATCTCGGCACACTGCAATCTTCGCCTCTCGGGTTCAAGCGACTCTCCTTCCTCAGCCTCCCAAGTAGCTGGGATTGCAGGTTTGCGCCACCACGCTCGGCTAATTTTTATATTTTTAGTAGAGACGGGTTTCACTATTTTGCCCAGGCTGGTCTTGAACTTCCGACCTCAGGTAATCCTCCTGCCTCGGCCTCCCAAAGTGCTGGGATTACAGGTGTGAGCCATCACGCCTGGCCCTAATTTTTTATTTTTTTGAGACAGAGTCTTACTCTGTCATCAGCGATGGAGTGCAGTGGCTTGATCATAGCTCACTGCAGCCTCGACCTCCCATGCTCAAGCAATCCTCCCACCTCTACCACCACAGTAGCTGGGAGTACAGGGGTGCACCACCAAGCCAAGCTAATTGTTTTGTTTTGTTTTGTTTTTAACAGAGATGGGGTCTTACTATGTTGTCCAGGCTGGTCTCGAATTCCTGGGCTCAAGTGATCCTCCCGTCTTGGCTTCCCAATGTGCTGGGATTGAGTTACTGCACCTGGCCTACAACTTTTTCAAATACAGATGATATCTCCCACTTTGACCTTGACTTAACTTTGCTTCCACAGCGACCATATGAGGCAGGTATTATTCCTACTGTGTAGATAGGAAGCCAGGGATCAGAGGTAGAATGTCTTGACCACAGTTATGCTAGCAAATGGCAGGGCAGGGATTTGAACTAAGGTCTAACTAATAGCAAAGCCCACGATTTTTAAAACATGATGTGTTATACATACTAAGGTATAAAATATATATGAATGGTTCAAAGGATAAGAATAAAGACGCATGTTATCCACCATCCAACTTAAAACTTAAGGAATGCTATAAGAAACATCAATACCTTTGGAATCTTATTTGTACTTGTATGCGCCCTGATTCTATATCCCTTCCTCCCTGCCTTCTACCCCAAGAGATACAGAATTCAAGAGAGTGGTTGTCATGTATTATTTTATTTTTATTTTTTTAAAGACAAAAAATAAAAGCCTGTTGCCCAGGCTAGAGTGCAGTGGTGTGATCATAGCTCACTGCAGCCTCCCACTCCTGGGCTCAAGTGATCCTCCTGCCTCAGCCTCCTGAGTAGCTGGTACAACAGGCACACATCACTAGGCTCTGCTAACTTAAACTTTTTTGTAGAATCAGAGTCTTGCTTTGTAACCCAGGCTGTATCAAACTCCTGGCCTCAAGTGATCCTCCCACTCCGGCCTCCCAAAGTGCTGGGATTTTCAGACATGTGCCACTATGCCTGGCCTGTCTTATTATTTTTTAATGCCATATAGCTGCATCCCTAAACAATATATTGTTAAGCTTGAATGTTTGAGTCTTTATATAAAAGGAATCATACTGTATATATTTTTCCATGACTTGATTTTTCACTCAGCATTCTATGTGTGAGATTCATCCTGTAACCTAGTAATTCTGATTCTCCATATATACTTTAGAGCAACTGACATGTGTGCATGTATGATCATAGGGGCAAATTAATAACAACCCAAACTGGAAATAACCCAAATGTCTATCACCAAGAGAACAGACAGATGAATTAAGCGATATTCACACAATAGATATGAGACAGCAGTGAAAATGAATGTATCTTCTTGGATTAATCTCACAGAATGTGGAGTGAAAAAGCAAGTTGTAGAAGAATATATACAGTAGGATTCACTTACCTGTAGTCTATAACATGTGAAACTAACTCATTATTTAGGGAGGCAAAGATGAAGACAATCATTTTTCTTTCTTTCTTTCTTTTTTTTTGAGACAGAGTCTCACTCTGTTGCCCAGGCTGGAGTACAGTGGTGCAATCTCGGCTCACTGCAGCCTCCGCCTCCTGGGCTCAAGGGATTACCCTGCCTCAGCCTCTCAAGTAGCTGAGATTACAGGTGTGTGCTGGGATTACAAAATGAGCCACCACACCTGGCTAATTTTGTATTTTTAGTAGAGATGGGGTTTCACTATGTTGGTCAGGCTGGTCTTGAACTCCTGGCCTCAAGTGATCCGTCCACCTCAGCCTCCCAAAGTGCTGGGATTACAGGTGTGAGCCACTATGCCTGGCCCTGATCTTTTCATTTTTATTTTTTCTTTTTAGAGACAGGGTCTTACTCTGTCACCCAGGCTGGAGTACAGTGGTGCTCTAGTACATGGTTCTGGTACATGGTTCTGGTACATGTCTGGTACATGGTTCTGGTACATGGCTCCAGTACATGGTTCTAGTACATGAGCACATGGTTCACTGCAGTCTTGAGCTCCTAGGCTTAGGTGATCCTCCTGCCTCAGCCTCCTGAGTAGCTGGGACCACAAGTGCTCACCATCACACCTGGCCAATTTTTAAATTTGTTGTAGAGACAGGGCCCCACTAAGTTGCCCAAGTTGGTCTCAAATTCTTGGCCTCAATTGCTCCTGGCTGGACGTGGTCTTTTTATTATCTTCTCCTGGAACTCTAATTAGACATTCTATCCTCATGACTTTTATTTTTTATTTATTTATTTTTTGAGTAGAGTTTCGCTCTTGTTGCCCAGGCTGGAGTGCAAAAGCACGATCTCAGCTCACTGCAACCTCCCCCTCCCAGGTTCAAGTGATTCTCCCGCCTCAGCCTCCTAAGTAGCTGGGATTACAGGTGCCCACTATCACGCCTGGCTAATTTTTTGTATTTTTAGTAGAGATGGGGTTTCACCATGTTGGCCAGGCTGGTCTCGAACTCCTGACTTCAGGTGATCCACCTGTCTCGGCCTCCCAAAATGCTGGGATTACAGGCGTGAGGCACCGTGCCTGGCCCTATCCTCGTATCTTAACCGATATACTCCAATTCATAACATTGGGGGAAAAAATGGAAAAAAATGGTACTGCATAGAAATGGTTTTCTTATTTTTCTTTCCCATAGAGTCCATGTCTTTTCTGTCCCTATATACATTTAACCCAATTTCTGGTATACAGGACATATTGACTACTTATTTATAGTGGAGGCAGGGTCTTGCTCTGCTGCCCAGGCTGGAGTGCAGTGGCACAATCATAGCTCAGTGTGGCCTCCAACTCCTGGGCTCAAGCGATCCTCCTGCCTCAGCCTCCCGAGTAGCTGGGACTACAGGTGTGTGACATCACGCCTGTCTAATTTTTTTAAAATTTTTATTTTGTAGAGATAGGGTCTCACTATGTTGTCTAGGCTGATCTTGAACTCCTGGCCTCAAGTGATCCTCCTGCCTCGGCCTCCCAAAGTGCAGGGATTACAGGTGTGAGCCACCGTGCTCGGCCACTACATCTTTAGTAAATGAATAAATACAGTGTTATGTCCATTTTGGGTATTACCTGGCCATCTAGATAAAAATCCTCAGAGACAGGGGAGCTGCCTATACTTCTTCGATATTGCCTAGTGTAATGATGAGAACACAGCAGATTCTCAGCTAACAGCCAGTGAATTAAATACAGCTGGAAAGTCCTTCAGGAGGTTTTCTCTTTTTAAATTTTTTTAAATTTTTTATTTTTAAAGAGACAGGGTCTCATTTTGTTGCCCAGGCCTGTCTCAAACTTCTGGGCTCAAGTGATCCTATTTTTTTTTTTTTTTTTTTGAGACGGATCTTGCTCTTATGCCCAGGCTGGAGTGCAATGGCGTGATCTCGGCTCACTGCAACCTCCACCTCCCCGGTTCAAGCAATTCTCCTGCCTTGGCCTCCCAAGTACCTGGGATTACAGACACACACCACCACACTGGGCTAATCTTTGTATTTTTAGAAGACACAGGGTTTCACCCTGTTGGCCAGGCTGGTCTCCAACTCCTGATCTCAAGTGATCTGCCCGCCTCAGCCTCCCAAAGTGCTGGGATTACAGGCATAAGTCACTGCACCTGGCCAGATTTTCCAATTTTATTTTTATTTATTTATTTTTTTGAGACGGAGTCTCTCTCTGTCGCCCAGGCTGGAGTGCAGTGGCTGGATCTCAGCTCACTGCAAGCTCCGCCTCCCAGGTTCACGCCATTCTCCTGCCTCAGCCTCCTGAGTAGCTGAGACTACAGGCGCCCGCCACCTCGCCCGGCTAGTGTTTTTTTTTTTTGTATTTTTTAGTAGAGACGGGGTTTCACCGTGTTAGCCAGGATGGTCTCAATCTCCTGACCTCGTGATCCACCCGTCTCGGCCTCCCAAAGTACTGGGATTACAGGCTTGAGCCACCGCGCCCGGCCTGGATTTTCCAATTTTAATAATCTCTTTCTAGAATCAAGTTGTAAGTGCAGAAAGAACTAGCTCAGAACATCACTGATTCCCTGGCCATTCACCAGCATGCACACCCAGAATAACAACGCTCCTCAATGATACTACTGCAAGTACCTCGCCGATGGCCTTGATCTTGCTCAGGCAGTTCCTCATGGCTGTGCTGTCAGTGTTCTCAAGGGTTCCCTCTTCCTCCAGGGCGGCCAGGTAGGCGAGGGTTTCCCTGCCGTACTGCTTACAGGCCTCGGTCAGTGCTGGAGATACAAGGCAATAGACACCTTTTTTTTTTTTTTTCTTTTGAGACAGAGTCTTGCTCTTGTTACTCAGGCTGGAGTGCGCTGGCGCAATCTCGGCTCATGGCAAACTCCGCCTCGTGAGTTCAAGCAATTCTCCTGCCTCAGCCTCCCGAGTAGCTGGGACTACAGGTGCACTACTGTGCCTGGCTAATTTTTGTATTTTTAGTAGAGACGGGGTTTTGCCATGTTGGCCAGGCTGGTCTCGAACTCCTGACCTCAGGTGATCTGCCCGCCTCGTCCTCCTAAAGTATTACAGTGATTACAGGCGTGAACCATTGCACCTGGCCAGTCATTTTTGTATTTTTAGTAGAGACGGGGTTTCGTCATGTTGGCCAGGCTGTTCTTGAACTCCCGACCTCAAGTGATCCACCTGCCTCAGCCTCCCAAAGTGCTGGGGTTATAGGCATGAGCCACTGCTCCCCTGGTCCATGAACAGCCCCTCATGCCCTGGTACTCACAGTCGGCAGGCTCAGGTGGGGCTCTGAGGCTGGTGCTGGCACCATGAGAAATGGCGTCGCTGGTCAAGTGGGCCAGCAGGGTTATGGAATGCAGAAGTCCACTGATGTCTGCCAGGATTGGAAAGGAAGTTTCTCAGGTCTGGTTGATGGTGTCACTTTCATACCCTTTCCTCCCCTATTTTATGAGTTGTCTACACGCCTTTCTTGATGCAGAGGAACCTGTCACCATTTCTGCATTCAGGTGCTTCTCAACCCTGTCCAGGTGTCACGAATGACAGAGACTATCCTTGGCCATTCTTACCTTCCGGGCAGGCCAGATACTCGCTCCAGCTTTTCTCCAGTTGTTCAATGCAGCTGGAAATGGACGTGACCGTGGAGAGGAGGTGATCTGTGAGAGGGAACACAGGGTAAGGTCACAGCAAGTTCTCATAGCTGGCTTCATCCTCGTTAATTAAGCAATGAATAGAGGAGCTTACCTAGTGGGTAAGCTTCCTGCCTAGACGTGAAGTTCATGAGTAATCACCTCTTGACTCAGACCATAGTTTTTTCCTTAGAGAAACACAGAATTGTCTGCTCCTGGTGGATGTTTTATCAGTGTGACCCACTGTCTAAAGCAGTGGCTATCGGCCAGGCGCGGTGGCTCACGCCTGTAATCCCAGCACTTCGGGAGGCCGAGGCGGGCAGATCACGAGGTCAGGAGATCGAGACCATCCTGGCTAACACGGTGAAACCCTGTCTCTACTAAAAGTACAAAAAATTAGCGGGGCGTGATGGCTCGTGCCTGTAGTCCCAGCTACTTGGGAGGCTGAGGCAGGAGAATGGTGTGAACTCAGGAGGCAGAGCTTGCAGTGAGCCAAGATCGCGCCACTGCACTCCAGCCTGGGCAACAGTGCATGGCTCTGTCTCAAAGAAAAAAAAAAAAAAAAGCAGTGGCTATCACACCTGGGGGCTTTAGAAAATACTACCGCTGGGCCTGGTGCGGTGGCTCACGCCTGTAATCCCAGCACTTTGGGAGGCCAAGGTGGATGGATAGCCTGAGCCCAGGTCTTCAAGACCAGTCTGAGCAACAAACCCCAACCAAAAACTAGCTGGGCGTGGTGTTGCGTGCCTATAGTCCCAGCTACTTGGGAGACTGAGTGGGGAGGATTGTGTGAGCCCAGGAAGTGGAGGTTGCAGTGACCCACCGCACTGCACTCCAGCCTGGGCAACAGAGTAAGACCCTATCTCAAAAAGAAAAAAAAAAAAAAGAAAATACTAGTGTACAGGTTCTAATGCACAGAGTTTCCAAATGTAACTGATCTAGGATGGGGCCTAGGCACCCGTAAGCTAATGCTGACATGCTGTGGGGCTGAGAGCCCCTGAGCTAAGTCTCACATGAGATTCACCATCAACAGAGGGTCAGGCTGTAAGCACCTGGCCCCTGCCAGCCGGGCAGTTGCAAGTGTACCTGCAGACCCAGCGCAGCTGATGAGAGGAGGTTCTTCAAGCTGGTTCAGGGCGTCTTGTATCACCTGCTCCGCAGCCTTCCTGGACCCCACCAGAAGCATTTTTCGTTGGTCTTTGGCAAGCTGGCACATAGATTCCTAAAAACGGTCCAGGGAGGTGAGAGTCTGCCCTAGACTCCATAATGAACCTGAGCGGCATGACCTGGCTGGGGCTCCTAGCATCTTAGCGCAAGTCACGGCCAATGAGGTCCAAACCAGTAAGCCTGAGACAGAGAAAGGCGCCTTAACTGTGTGCACGGGGTGTGTGGCTGCCCACGGAGGCTGCAGGGATGGATCACTGCACCCCGTTCTCATGGCTGGGAGGGAATGCCAAACTTCCCTTCTCATACAAAAAAGACAGCACTCTGCTTTCCCTCATGCGCTCTGCAGGCAGTGCAGGGCCTGCTGGCATCACACCTACAGAATGTCTGCACAATTGGGCCGAGGCCCCAAACTCCTTCTCAGCAGCCCCGGGGTCCTCCTGGCCTCCGTGCATGCGCAGAGGCCCTCAGTGGGAGTTCACAGGCGCTTGCTTGTGTCTGTGTCTGTGACTTGCCTCTGTGCTGGCCAGTTTGAGCTGAGTGTCCTGCAGTTCTTTCCGAAGAGCGGATAATTCCTCGTCTCTATGAGCTGCGCCACTCACCAGGCTGTCCCGCTCCTTCTCTAGCTCGGCGATCTGGGCTGCCCAGTTTGCTTCTGACTGCAAAGGTGACCACAAGGAAAGAGGGAGACACTGGTTGAGTTAAACAGTCCCTATTTCTCAGAGGTCCAACCCATCACCTGGCTACAAGGACTGGGAAAGTGATAGCTCTTTAACCTGCCACTCTGATTCCCTCTTGCACTGATTATAGCTGGGGCTGACTTAGCCAGGTTAAGGATGGTGGATGACAGCAATGCCAAAGCCAGGGGTGGGGCAAGAAAGGAGGCCGGGTGTGGAGGCTCATGCCTGTAGTCCCAGCACTTTAGGAGGCTGAGGTGAGAGGATCACTTGAGCCCTGGAGTTTGAGACCAGCCTGGGCAACATAGTGAAACCTTGTTTTTACCAAAGAAAATACAAAAATTATCTGGGCGTAGTGGCTTGTGCCTGTAGTCTCAGTTACTTCGGGGGAGCTAAGTGGGGAGAATCACCCGAGCCCAGGGAGGTGGAGGCTGCAGCAAGCTGAGATCACACTACTGCATTCCAGCCTGGGTGACAGAAGAAGACTCCATCTCAATAAAAAAGAGAAAGGCGGTATTTACCTGGGCAGAAATTTCCAGGCTGCCTTGGAGAACCTGAAGCTCCCGTTGGCTTGTGGCGAGTTCTTGCTTCAAGCTCTCTAGAACTTCCAGCTGTTCTTGAGTCTGAAAGAGAAGAAAAACAGAGGGACTCTGATCTGGGTGGTAGTGACAAAGAATATAAAAACGTAAACATGTCCCAAGCGATCAATAAGAGATCTGTAAACTCTACTGTATGTAAGTTACACCACCCAAAAAAGTGCAGGGTGTGGGAGGAGGAGGCGAGACCCCAGAGTGTACTGAAAATGTGGAATGTCAAGGAAGGAATTTTTATTATTTATTTATTTATTTTTGAGACAGAGTCTCACTCTTGTCGTCCAGGCTGGAGCGCAGTGGCGCAATCTCGGCTCACGGCAACCTTTACCTCCCAGGTTCAAGCAATTCTCATGCCTCAGACTCCCAAGTAGCTGGGACTACAGGCACCCACCACCCCGCCTGTCTAATCTTTATATTTTTGGTAGAGACGGGGTTTTACCATGTTGGCTAGGCTGGTCTCGAACCCCTGACCTCAGGCGATCCTCCGGCCTTGGCTTCCCAAGGTGCTTGGATTACAAGTGTGAGCCACTGTGCCTGGCCTCCAGGAAGGAATTTTAGAAACACTTCCCAAATGTCATGCTTAAGTCCGTAATACTAAAGGCAAACTGGGTCTTAAATTCAGGCATCCCAACAGCTGGTATATGGCTGAACTACAGCACCTCGCCATTCCCAGATGACTCTCTTTCTTTGATTTCTTGATGGTGTTTGTCAAAGAGTGGGTTGTGACTCCTTAGTAAGAATTCACAGCTAACATTTAAAAAAATGGATTAAATAGAACGGAAAATAGCCAAATGAATTCACGTAGTAAGGATAAGTATTGCTTGGTGAAACTTACTTGTATTTCCATGAGATAGATGTAGTTTTTTATGTGGGGTCACAGAAAAGTGTGAAAGTCACTCCTCTAAATCTAGGACATTTGGTTTGATCTGTCCCATATCTCTGACTCCACCTCTAAGCCTCCAATCTGCCTGTCGGTCCTGCCCCAACACAGCGGTGTTCTCTGTTTTTTTTTTTTTTTGAGATGGAGTCCCGCTCTGTTGTCCAGGCTGGAGCACAGTGACATGATCTCAGCTCATGCAACCTCTGCCTCCTGGATTCAAGCGATTCTCCTGCCTCAGACTCTCAAGTAGCTGGACTACAGGCATGAGCCACCATGCCCGGCTGATTTTTTGTATTTTTAGTAGAGATGGGGTTTCACTATGTTGGTCAGTCTGGTCTTGAACTCCTGACCTGAGGTGATCTGCCCGCCTCAGGTTCCCAAAGTGCTGGGATTACAGGTGTGAGCCATTGTGCCCGCTTCTTTTTTTTTTTTTTTTTCTAATAGAGACAGGTCTCACTCTATCGCCCAGGCTGGGGTGCAGAGGGGTAATCATAGCTCACTGCAGCCTCGATCTCAAACTGGGCTCAAGCAATTTTCCCACCTCAGCTTCCCAAGTAGCTAGGATTGCAGGCATAGATGCTACTACACCTGGCTAATTTTTACTTTTTTTTTTGTCTTGCTCTGTTGCCCAGGCTGAAGTGCAGTGGCACGATCACAGCTCACTGCAGTGTCAAACTCCTGGGCTCAAGCAATCCTCCTGCATTGGCATCCCAAGTAGTTGGAACTATAGGCATGCATTACCACGCCCAGCTAATTTCTTAATTTTTTTTTTTTTTTTAGATGGAGTCTTACTGTCACCAGGCTGGAGTGCAGTGGCATGATCTCTGCTCACTGCAACCTCTGCCGCCTGGGTTCAAGTGATTCTCCTGCCTCAGCCTCCCAAGTAGCTGAGACTACAGGTGCCCGCTACCATGCCCGGCTACTTTTGTGTATTTTTAGTAGAGACGGGGTTTCACCATGTTGGCCAGGAGAGTCTCGATCTCTTGACCCCATGATCCACCCGCCTCGGCCTCCCAAAGTGCTAGGATTACAGGCATGAGCCACTGCGCCTGGCCAATGTCTTAATGTTTTGTAGACACAAGGTCTCACACTTTGTTGCCCAGACTAACCTGGAACTCCTGGCCTCAAATCATCCTCCCGCAAGCTGGGATTCCAGGTGGGAACCACTGTGCCCAGCCTGTTCTCAAGTTTTTGTAAATAATGCTCATCCTGCCGGGCGTGGTGGCTCACACCTATAATCCCAGCACTTTGGGAGGCCGAGGTGGGTGGATCACAAAGTCAGGAGTTCGAGACCAGCCTGGCCAATATGGTGAAACCCCGTCTCTACTAAAAATACAAAAATTAGGCAGGCGTGGTGGTGGGCGCCTGTAGTCCCAGATACTCGGGAGGCTGAGGCAGGAGAATCGCTTGAACCCAAGAGGCGGAGGTTGCAGTGAGCCGA